TAAGCCCCGCTCAGCTGCTTAGATCAGAATAATGTTCCCAACCTCAGAGGTAAATCTTCATCTTCGGTGTTCTTGCTGAACCGGTCTGAGGCTGCGACATGACAGATCAAAGTGGCTTCAAAAAGCTCTTGTCTTTAACTGTGGAATACAGCTGCAATCTCACCCAAACATAAACAAGGGACTCATCTGTGATCAAAATAGATGAGAAAAAAAAAGGGGGGGGGGAACGACACCTGATGAGTAAGCAGGTGCCATTTTTACATAGTCACTTTTCTGACAATAACTCCACTCTAAAGTAGGTGGGGAGCATTGCAGGGTTTGGGCAGGCAGGTAGTGGCCTCAATCTGTGTACAAATCTGGACACATCCAGATGCATGTCTGTTCAGATAGCCACACCCTGCATGCACTTATATTGAAGCAGAAAATAGGGCATCCCTTGTATGTTGTTTTCACTCACTGGTAACTTCTTTGTTGCTTTATAGAATGCTATCCAATAGTTTAGGAACACATTTTGTTTCTTTTTTTAAATTTCGTAAACTAGATTGAGTATAAGTATTTTCATAACATTAGAATAACATGTATTTTTTCAATTAATTATTGCTACGGTTATTATTTGTAGTATGTAGTAGCACCTAGAGATCCCAGTCAGGGACCAGGTTCTATTGTTCTAGGCATTGGTACACAGACATAACAAAAGTACAGTCCCTCCCCCAAAGCGCTTATATCATCAAAGGCCCTGATCCTGCTGTCTTACACATGTGCTTAACGTTGCATACCCTGAGTAGTCCCATTGAAGTCAATGTGCATAAAGTTAAGCACATGCATAAAGCTTTATAGGATCAGGGCCTACATATGCTAATTTAATTTGGATTTAGCATTCTGTGCACAGTGTTTGCAATCCAAACATTGCAACACTATGCTAAGGCATGAGCATCTGGAGCATTGGACCTTTTTGCCAATGGGGCTGCACCTTGGTTCAGGGTCCTTGCTCATGGATCTGATTGCAGGATTAGGACCGCCATTGGTAACACAGATAAGGAATTTAAAAAAAAAACGGATTATATTAATTCAATCATTTTCTCAAGTTTACCTTTGCAGATACTTCTCACAGAAGACAACTAAATGCCAAATTTGTATTTTTGACTTTAAGTTTTTTAACTAATTATGTGCAACCTCAAAACAAACAAAACCCTGCACTTTTTTTAAAAGCAATTTTCTTAAAGCCTACAACAAAGGGCCCAGATCTTCAACTGGTATAAACTATATCTGAGGTGAGGAATTGGCCCCTTTTTTCCATACTCAGAAACTCAGAAAGGTTTTCTATAAACTTAAAAAATAAATTGTTTTAATTGCTTTTTGGCTGAGAACAAAGTGTAAGAAATTTAAATCCAAAGGGTCGTTTTTTCAGAACGTTATACCTACCTGAAAATATGACCTTATCATCAAAGTACTTTCTTAAACCAGAATTTGATAATTGCTATTGTAAGCTGTAATGTAAATATGATTAGTAACATTGTTCTCAAACAGAATATTTTTAAAGGTTTCTGGAAGAGATCTGTTCATTTTTAACTTGATTTCCTTTGTGTGTGTCAAAACTCTAATGTTTTTTTAAAATATGGCTAATATATATGAGTTTAGAGGAATATTTATCTAAGGAGCCAATTGTTCAATGATCTCAGCATGGGGCTTATTGCGAGATCAGTGCCTTATATATCGTACTATGGTATTTGTGTGTGTTTGCATATGCAGCCCTTTTGGCAGCTACTTGGGTTTGTAAAAAAAGATGTTAGAAGTGAGCAATATGAAAAGCGCTACTTTTATGTTAAAAAATCCTACATTGTTCTAAATCTATATTTCAGTCTGAGAAATTCAACTATAATCAGGGGTAATTGGTGCCTTTTAGAGATAGCTAGATCCAGTGTATAGAGAACTCACACGTGAGGTATGAGGACAAAAGATCTTCAGCTGGAATGGTTAAAGACCAATTTTTACATAATAGTAGAACAATATCCCAGGGCTTTGGAGGTACCAGTCCTTCCTCTTCAGTAATTAGATAGTCCAGAATTACAATGTTTAATTACTTGCAAAGATCTTTTGTCTTTATTATACCAACCAGTGGCCTTGATCCTGCAAACATTTAATCAAGTATGTACTTTTACTCACATAGGACTACTCACGTGTGTAAAGTTGCCCATGTACCTAAACACATGAAAGACTGGGGTGAGAGTCTGAAAAATTCTCTCACTGCCCTCTGTGTTTGGAAAATGATTTCATATGTCTGTTTACACACTACTTTACATGATACTGTATGTATCATTTGATATGCTCAGCAAGTAGGAAACCAATATCCTTAAATTCAGTTATTTCCCTCAAAGTTTGAGACACCAAAACTTTGACACATTTCTTTGAGATCGAGTATTTGACTCTTTCACAAGCAAACAGAACGGTGACTGTCAGCTGTCAATATCCCAGGCTGCCCCCTTGCTAACGACTCAGTCCTTACACCTGGACTAATTTTCTTTTAAGTGGCCTCTGAATTTGGGGATCTAATTTTTTGGCTGTCCAACTTGAGAAACCTAGGTTCTGATTTTCTGAAAGGTCAATCGCCCATGCTCCCACTAAGTGAATGGGTGTTGCGTGCTCTCTGGACCCAGGTGTCTGAAGTTGGGCACCCTTAGGGGTGCGGCACCCAAAAATCAGTGGCCACTTCTGAAAATCTGGCTGCTGTTGACTTCAGTGGGAGCTTTGCCACAGCATGCGGCATTAACTCACTCACTTAGGAAGCTGCCAGTCAGGTTCCACAAGGAATCCTGGCAATAAAATATTGAATAAGAGAGGAGGGAATTCTGTGAACTGTGGTACAAATTAAAATTCTCTGTGACCCAAGCATCCGCTCTTAGATCTCAATGAGATAAGTGCCTTAGAAGTACCTGAAAAACAGAGGAGCAGAAAGTTACCCAGAATCACACAGGGAATGTGTAGCAGCGCCAGGAATAATCCCTGACTTCCAGCCTGGTGTCCTGTGGATGGACCACGATGCCATGGAAAAGGCATTTTGCTGTCTGTCCATGGAGCATTCTTACTCTGGTGTACACACCCTACATACTATAACAAACTGTGTAGTGAGCATCTCCAAACAGTGTCATGCACATTTCCTTGAGTACCACCATCTGTATTGCTCCACCATGACATGGCCGACAGGGAGTGGAGCAAGCACTTGAAGCATCTTTAGACACAGGCGTTTGCTGATTTCAGAGGCTTGGAATGTCAAGGTTATTTTTATTTTGAGATATTAAGTGTAAAAAGGAGGAAGGCTTTGTTTGGCTACTTTTATCCTGTTAAGGTTTAGTCATGCATTGGGCATGCAACCATGCTGGCTACCTAAGAAAACATTGGTGTGCCTGAGGTGATATAAAAAGGGTGGATAGATTTCAATCCACAAGAGAAGCAAACCTTTATGTTCTGCAAAGTGTGAGGTAGGGTCTGAACCTGCATTTCTTAACCACCCAAAACTCCCATTGGCTTTGGGCTCGTATGTAATTTTGGGAGAGTCAGACAAAACTGGAGTTCTAGATAACTTTAGTAATGAGTCCCACCTTAAACAAAAGCTGTTGCTATTCTTCATGAAAGAGTGAGGAGGCCAGGAATACACACCCGCACAGGCTCACACGCTGCATACACGCACACACAGAGACAACAACCCAGGTTGTTACAGTAAGAAGCTGACCTCCTTCCCCTCTTTATAAAAAATGTATCCCCATTATACTTCACAGTGTCCATGCACAATCAGAGAAGAGGGAGCCAAAAAACCGGTCTCTATATTATTTATTTTTAAAAAGGAAAGAACTGACATTTTTTAATGTTAAAAAATGATTCCCTCCATCACTGAATGAATGTCTCTGACATCAGTTCCTGATTTAGGTGACAGGTTTCAGAGTAGCAGCAGTGTTAGTCTGTCTTCGCAAAAAGAAAAGGAGTACTTGTGGCACCTTAGAGACTAACCAATTTATTTGAGCATGAGCTTTAGGTGCTCATTTAGGTGAATTAAATAATTCCTTTGTGTACAGGGACGAGTGCGTTAGTGTGGGTAGACGAATCATGTTCCTCACTGCTACACTTAAAATACCAGTGTTGTGTGTGTGCATACGAAACAGTCTGAGAGTCACAAGACGTGCATTTTCTTTTTGGCTCCGCCACTGATTTCTCGTATGAGTCTCGGCAAGTCACTTATGGTCTCTCTGCCTGTCTTTCCCCACTTGAATCATGTTTTTAACACTCCCCTGCCTCCCACTGGTGGTGCAAGGTTAAATTAGTTAATGTTCTGACGTGGTCAGGTGGCACCGCGTTGAGTGCCATAGAAACGTGTGTAAACAAAAAAAAACAAAAAAAGAGCGTGTCTCTTCTTATACCCGAGAAGAGAATGTATGATAGCATGGCCTGTGGTGCGTGGGTTTTGTTATTATGAGTTTTGAATGGCTGCAAAGTTGTTCTGGGCACAGGTTGCTGGTGGGACTGGCCCATAATTTGTATGGTGCGCTGGGAAGCTTCAGGGTAAAAGGTGTTCTGTAAATATAGGGTATAATTTTATCATACAGGATAGGGTAGGATTAGCTATGCTGCATGTAAGGGCCAAGGGGCAGCTGCAGGGAGTGAGGGAAATTTGGGGGACATAGACCAGTCCTATTAATTCTTCTCTTTCACAAGAACTAAATAAACTCCCAAGGGAAATAATAAAACATTGAAAATTGTATGCAAAAAATCTGCCTGCCAGCCACAAACCCTTAGCCAGAAGCCAAACCTTTGCCACTGTCAGTGGGCAAGATGGGCCGGGCCTGGGCTGGCCAGCTCTGTGCCCCAGTGGTGGACTCCATTTCCCATACTCCCTTAGTGGCCTAATGTATTCCGTGCTCAGCCCGGCTCGGTGTGTGTGTGTTGCTCCAGTCCCTCTGAGAGTGGAAGTTCATTCACTGATTAGAGCCAGCGCTGAGAGGCAGCGTTGCTCCTTCTCTCACACCAATTGAGTCTCTTGATCTGTTCCATGCAATCCAAGACAGCCTGCAAACCCGCCCAGGACTTCCCATGCACCGCGCTCTGCTCCTGCTTTCCCGAGCCTGACAAAGTGGAGCCATCTCCAGAGGAATTTCCACTGTGAGTACTGGAGATCACAAAGGTGTGTGCGTGCGTTTGTGTGTGAGGGGGCCGGGCGGGGGGAGCTTGTGCGGGGCAGGAGCCGGGGCTAACTTTGGAGGAGAGGCTCCCCCACGGCTCTCTCCCTGGGCTGCGGGGACCCTGAGCCGAGTCACGGAGGCCGGTGCCCTTTGGTTTCCCTGCAAATCCGGACTCTCTGCGGAGTCAAACTTTGCGTGGCAAGTTTTATTTTCCCATGCAAGGATTGCCGCGAGCTCCTGAATCCCCCCACCACAGGCAGCTGGCTATGGGGGCCGGGATGGGATGGGGGGGGTCGAGTGGCGGGGGAGGCAAGGGGGGGATCATAATGATAGTGGGTTCAAGTCCGATCAAAGGAGAGGATCCAGCCCCGCCGCCGCCGCCTCCTTCTGCAACCCGAGAGGGGCCGCGTCTCTGGGACCGTCCCCCTGATTATTTTGCGGGGGTGCTGGCGATGGGGGGCGGGGGGTGAGGACCAGTGGGCACAAGGGGGAATCAGGTGCCGGGGCAGAAGGTTTCCAAATGCAGCCGGAAATGGTGCGGATCAGATTTAATTCAAAGCCGGTTATTTTAAACCGTATTTTATTGACTTTTTATTTTTGCAACCAGGGGAGTTACTGCCTGGCTTTCCCTCGCCGTCCGCGGGCTCTCGGGCTGCCTTTGCTCCGGGCAGCCCCCGCTTCATTTCCCAGGGGCTGCAGAACCGAACCAAACCAAAAACTTTCTGAGAGGAAACAAACAAATCTTCTCTCCACGCCCCTCCCCGCAACCCGCATCGTTTTTGTCTTTTTTTTTAAAAACCTCAGACTTATTTCTGTGGGGTTATCACAGCGCCTGCAGCCCCGCCGGCTCGGCGAGCACGCCGGGCACGCGGAGTAGCTTGAAGCCAAAGCGTTTCCCTTTTGGCAATCGCGCAGTGCCCGTGTGAACTTCGATTTTAATCCGGAGCGGAAAATACACATCCCGCCCTGGAGGATTGAATTTGGTTTTTTTAAACGTGCTTTGCAAATTACCACTTGTCGTGATTTTGGGGTACGGTGGAAGTTTGTACAACTCCCTCCCCCACCCCCAGCCACTCCTCCCCCGAAAGACTCGCCCCCAAACCGCTCTCAGCTGGGAATCAAATTGACGAATCTCGGCGGGGCCCCAACTACTTGTTCTCGCTTTATTCTTGAAAACAAAATAAAGGGCCGGAGTCCGTGTAAATAGTCAGCGGAACAGGCTCAAACCGCTCCGCGTGTGACATGCACGGTGGAAAATCATTTGGCCGGAGAAGGCGAAATGCAGTGAGCGTGTTTTCACTGATGTCCTAGAGAAAACTTCCTGCATCACCCGCCAGTGCTAGCAAAAGCTTACAGGAGCTGAATCCTTTCTAGAAAACTTCCTCTCTCCCCTCTCCCCGCAAAAAAAAAAAAAAAAAAAAAAGAAAGAAAGAAAGAAAGCGGGGAAGTCTGTAACTAGGTTGGAAGCGTGGAAACTAATTCTTCACCTTGAGCTCTAAATACATAAAAACCATCTGTTTTGCCACAATGAAATCATTAGGAACTGTCTGCTCAGAGAGTGGCGTTGAATGCTTCTCCGTCCACACAGGAAACGTGTATGGCCGGGGATTGTTGCAATACATTCAAACAACTCTAATCATCCTCCCATTTGATGAGCTTTGTTTCTGACCCTTTCATGGACTGTAGGAATTGGGATGGAAAGCCCCCCCCCCCATGAAAAGAGGAAATAATTCCGAAGACGACAAGAAAAACCAGTCTCCGTGTCTCTGCTCTTCCCCGAGCTCTCTTTTCCCGACTTCACAACATTATTTTGTGCACGATCTGATTTGTGGCATTTAATGCGAGTGTTGCAAAGGCAGGTCGAGGCAGAGAAAGGGGAGAAGAGAGCGAATTTCCCCACATTAATGTCCCTGTTCTCTTCTGGGGGGACGTTTCGTTTCTGACCAAACGAAATTAGCAGGATTCTCCCTGAAAACCCTCGCCCCAGACTTGGGAAGGCGGGGGAAGGAAAACACCTGTTTAATTTGCAGCTGGAGACAGTCCAGTGGCTTTTTCTTTGGTGTTGTTTCTAATTTAAACCTTGACGCACCCCCTTGGAGGGGTTTTTTTTGGGGGGGGAGTTTGCGGGGGATGAAAATGTAAACTGTGAAGCAAATCGTCAAAGTCACAGCGATGAGGGAAGCCCACGCCGACTGTGCACATCTACAGACGCCGCAATGAGCGGCTCCTGCGGGAAAGAGCCCCCAGACCCGCACAAACCCGCCCTGGGCCCACCCCCGCGCTGTGCTTCGGGGGGATCTGTCCGGCTGCAGTTTGGGAGCCGGGGGAGGACGGGTCCCTGACAATCGCAGGTCGGGAACCCCCCCCCCCCCCGGTGCATTTCTGTCGTGCTCAAGCCCCCGAGGGGAGTCTCCCCCGCACTGTCCCCCCGGCCAGCCCCAGCCCCCTTGCGATTCCTCCCTCGGCTTTTCAACTTAATTGGGAAAAATTGCTGCGGGGTGGGGAGCGGGGGGAAAGGCCTCTCTTCTTCCCCCAGATGCTGGTTTGGCTCGCTGGCCGCCCGCGGATCGTGTTGGCAGCGGGGCCAGATTTCTGCAAGAAGTTTTGTAGCAAAACCAAATCCGGGCCGGGCTCTTCCCCAGCGAGGAGAAGCGGGGCGGCCCCGTTCCTGCGGGGAGGCCGCCGCTCGGAGCCCGGGGGCGGTGTCTGGCACCGAGGCGTTTCCACGGCCCGCCGAGTCTGCCTGCCCGACCCGGGCCGGCCTGGCCCTTAGGTTTTGCTCCGAACCGGGTTTCGCGGCACTGCTCCTCGGGTGCCGGCCACTGGCATCTCGTGCGCCCCTTAAAAAAGGAGCTCTTTTCCCTCTGCATCTCAGCCCGCCGGTGAGCTCTCCTCTGGGTTGCTTGTCTAGCTTGCGTTTGTTTTATTCTTTGATGAGGAAATCCAGTTTAGTTCAAATACCCAATCCATTGGAGCACTTAATTCTTGTTATTTTGTTTTAGAATCTTTGGCTTTTCGACACAGGACATATTTATAAATTCCTACTTGACATTTATGGGGGGGGGGGGGGAGAACTTTAATGTAAATGTATGGTATGATTTTTTTTTTTTAAAAATCTGTCCTGATTTCCTCTCTGTTTTTGCTAATGCTTCGAAGCTTCTTAAATAGTGTGCCAATTAATTGTTTTAAGACATTTGTTCCGGGAAGGAGAAAAATGTTAATTTGTCCCTTTATTTTAATTTCTGGTGTTTGGAAATGGTTGAGAGACCATAAAAATGCAACCTGTTGTAATAAACAAAGTAGTGTGTTTTATTTATTTTAATTGATAGCAGAGAAGTGATTCGTTGATTGAAACTCTTAATGCTTTAAGATATGCACGGTTTTTTGTTCTTTCCTTCCAGGCTGATTAGCAAAGAGGTTTTTATGCTGGTATCAGTGGTCAGCCCTATTTTCTCCACTCACACAATATTTGTGATGCCTGCTAAATCCAACCTGTCATAGATAGACTGATTTTTGTCTGTCTTTCTCTTTACCTAATTCAAACCAGTGTTACAATCTTTTATAAACAGAGGAATCAAACTTGAGCTAGAGATTACTGATAAGAAGTTGTTCCTTGGTGAGATATTTTTTAATGGATCGAACTTAAGGCTGTTGATTCAATTTGTCTTGGTTTTGGCATATTTAACCTTGCAATTAGTATGCTGGCAATTTGTATACACCTTAAATAAGATGTCTTTAAAAAATTCTCTGTATATCAGAGCAGTCATTTAAAAAAAATTAAAAATCACAATATTTTTTGGTCTGTCCGTCTTACTTCGATGCCTGGTAGACAGTTTATGTAGCTTCATAGATTGATCTCTACCCCCTACTCCCTCCACTCCTTGTTTAGTTAATTCAACAAAGACTTTTTGCAATCTGTTTGGAGTTTGTCTGATGCCGTGGAAAAGTAGCTGCTGATTTATTTGGTTGCTTTTCGATTTCTGTCTCCAGCCCGTCTTTTTTCCTCCTTTCAGTGGGGATGTCAGCTGTTATTACTTCCTATTGATCCCTTTGCAAAGTGAGAAGTGAACTAAAATTAATGTCAATTCCACTGCTCAGATCAATAGCTGGAGTTATTTTAATCTGGATTTGCACGGGGTGCTAAATTAAAGAAAATCAGCATAGAGGCAGAAAAGTAACAGTTACTTACTTTGCCTTGTGCCCACTACCTTACAGTCGCCCCGATGGTCCATCAAGCTGATTATCCAGCAATCCATATTTTTTTAATTAAGAAGGTCAGTTCGTTTTCTTATTTTGGGTTCTGTATTTAAACCCATGACATTTTGACATCGGGAGTGTATTAACTATAGATTTTCATAATGACTGGTCCGCCGCAGTCTCATCTGTACATGTTGCTCATGGGGGTGGGGGGGGGGGAGAGACTGCGAGAGAGAGCGAAAAAGGAAGTGGGAGTTTAAAAAAAAATTAAATTTGGCTGGGTGAGATATTGTAATGTGTTGATTTATTCCCGGCATAATGAAGTTTGCAAACGAATAAGGCGGCCGGAGTGATTCACAATATCCTACAAGAGTGTCAAGTGTTGCGGCCAGAATACTAATTTATTAAATACGTTTAATGTCGTGAGGTGATGGAACAAGTAAAAATAGAAAAAGAGGCAAAGAGGCAGCAATGGTGCTGGGTTGTTTTTTTTTTTGAAAACCGTATTTCCCAATGATCTCTTAGCCCCACTGACATATTAATGATAGTTCATTTCTGTGTGAGGGCTTATTTATTTGTATGTGCGTGTTAATTTTTTTTTATAGCAGCCTGAAAAACCCCCCAATAACCCAAAATTCACTTGTGGATGCAGTTTTGTGCCTGTGTTTTGTGTGTGTGTGTTGATCAGCTTTCCTGAAAGCAGCAAAACAAGCGTGTCCAGGCTTTCTGTGCTTTTACATGCTGCCCTTGGCATCTCTCTCTCCCTCGCCGTGGCTAGAACTTGACAGGAAAGTTATTTAAAATTTGGAAGAGAGCAAACCTGTTAATGTGAGATACATAATCTGGTAATTTAGCAATGATGTCTATAAGGAAGAGTGCCAAATGAGGAAGCCGAGAGATGATGTCCACTCATCTTTACAATTAATAACAGTCACTGAAGCGTTTGGGTACAGGATGGGAGAAAGGAAATGTTATAATTGGACTACATTAAAGCCATAGACTGGATTTCATACAGTTTGTTAACCTAGGCTCCTTCATTCATGGAATACAAAAGGCACTCCATTAGGAAGAGACTCTTTCAGTAAGTTTTATTTGAGATGTTTGACCCTCTGGATTTAAGAGAGACAATTTGTAACAGCTTTTTATTATTATATGATTTTCTTAGCCCTTTGAGCTCTGGCAGGCTAGTATGTTGTTTCAAAGTTACAGTTCTTGTATTTTAAGAAGGGTCTTGGGGCCTGAATGGTAGGCAGCGGAACCTTAAAAGAAAAGGCACTAGGTTGATCGGGAAAGAAAATACCAAACCAAACCATTAAAACAGAAAACTCAGAGAGACACAGAAGGAAGGATTTTTCTGCCTCTCGCTCTGAGGGGGTTTGTGGCTGGGCGAATGGATCTGGCCGAGCTAGGAGGCTCAGCAAAATGCAAGCCAGAAATTTTGTTAACATTTTCCTCTAAATGTTAATGGCACATACAGAGCAGTTTACAAATCTACTTAAGAGCTAGTGCATTAGGAACTAAAATTACTGATGCGTACTCCGCTGTCCCCGACCCGAAAGGCAGACATTTGCAGAGATCACATGGCAGAGGCACCCATTATGATTTTAAATATTGTCAGAGACGCCAGGCATTTTATTGATGAAGTCTCCGCTCCTTTTAAAAAAAAAAGAAAGAGTGTGCATGCTCTCTGTGTGTGTGTGTGTGTGTTATATGATTATGTAAAATGTATACCTGCATATGTGTATATACCTACACATACATAATGTGTGAGAAAAATAGACATGTTACACACATTCCTTATGCATCATAGGCAGTTTAAACAACTGTATAAATGTTTATTTCTGTTCATGTAATTATGTACAATAGCTATGGTATGTTTTACATATCTTAAATTGTGATGATCAGTTGTGGGGAATGTCTCTTAATTTTAGACCACGCCTAGATTATTGACATGTGGGGATATTTATATTACAAATAGATCCTTTATACTAATGTTTTTGGTAGGATTTTTCCCTCTGTCATGTGGAGTGGGCCAAAGTTGGTTCCACCCGTGTGTGAAGCTGTCTGTTGATTTTCGTGAATGAGAACATTGGTGCGTGGCTGGGCCGTTGGTTGTAATGCATGTGGCCTTCCCACTGCATGTAATGTACAGAAGAAGCCAGTGCAAAAGCCTCACCACTTGTGTTCTCTCTTCCCTTCTGTTTCTCTGCAGCTTCAGGACGGCGATGATGCCTCAGTGATCTCCCTGCTCCAAAACCAGGCCTCGCTTGACTTTCCTTCCAGGAAAGATTGTTCCCCTTGTGATCCTGTTGAGGAAAGAGACTCCGATGGACTTACACCGGGCAGCCTTCAAGATGGAAAACTCATCCTATCTTCCCAACCCGCTGGCATCTCCGGCCCTGATGGTTCTCGCCTCCACTGCTGAAGCCAGTCGGGACGCTTCCATCCCCTGTCAGCAGCCAAGACCTTTTGGAGTCCCGGTATCAGTGGATAAGGACGTGCACATCCCCTTTACCAATGGCTCGTATACTTTTGCCTCCATGTATCACCGGCAAGGTGGGGTGCCAGGGGCATTCGCGAACCGTGACTTCCCCCCATCCTTGCTACACCTCCACCCCCAGTTTGCACCCCCCAACTTGGACTGCACACCAATAAGTATGTTGAACCACAGCGGCGTTGGGGCTTTCCGCCCCTTTGCCTCCACTGAAGACAGGGAGAGCTACCAGTCGGCCTTTACGCCGGCCAAACGCCTGAAAAACTGCCATGACACAGACTCGCCCCACCTGCGCTTCTCGGATGCCGATGGCAAGGAGTATGAGTTTGGAACCCAGCTCCCTTCCGGCTCCCCTGGCTCACTCAAAGTCGATGACACAGGGAAAAAGATCTTTGCGGTCTCTGGCCTCATGTCTGACCGGGAGACCTCGTCCAGTCCTGAAGACCGAAATGACAGATGTAAGTACCTCCGTTACCCCTCTCGGCTTTACTTCGCGGTGCCTTGTTGAGATGCTCAACAGGTGTGTCGTTCTGTCGTGCTGCGGTTCCTGCTGAAGGAATGGGCGCAATGTCCTTTCCTTCGTGTTGAGTTACATGATAACATGGTGCCTTGTTTTTCTTAAATGGACATTGATGGATTTCACGGTAAGGTGTATTGGAAGGAAACCCATTTTCAAATGCACCTTGGGAGAGACGCCTTTTTCTCTGCTTGAAACTGGGGCAGCTAAGCACAGAAAGATGTCTATGCCTCAAAGCAGGGAGATATACTTTGTGTGTGTGTGTGTGTGAGAAAGCAGGGAGATATCCTCTGTGTGTGTGTGTGTGTGTGAAAGCAGGGAGATATCCTCGTGTGTGTGTGTGTGTGTGTGTGTGAGAAAGCAGGGAGATATCCTCTGTGTGTGTGTGTGTGTGTGTGAAAGCAGGGAGATATCCTCTGTGTGTGTGTGTGTGTGTGTGTGTGTGTGTGTGAAAGCAGGGAGATATCCTCTGTGTGTGTTTGTGTGTGTGTGTGTGTGAAAGCAGGGAGATATCCTCTGTGTGTGTTTGTGTGTGTGAAAGCAGGGAGATATCCTGTGTCTGTGTGTGTGTGTGTGTGAAAGCAGGGAGATATCCCGTGTGTGTGTGTCTGTGTGTGTGTGAAAGCAGGGAGATATCCCGTGTGTGTGTGTGTGTGTGTGTGTTTGTGTGTGTGAAAGCAGGGAGATATCCTGTGTGTGTGTGTGTCTGTGTGTGTGTGAAAGCAGGGAGATATCCTGTGTGTGTGTGTGTGTGTGTGTATATACACAGAAGGGTGCATTTGTAAGTATACAACTAGAACTTTTTTCAGGGAGTTTATCAGTTAAAACTGCACCCACTGCTCCCTTTGATATTTTTCCTCTGACCTGTTCCTCACATGCTCAGTTCTTACACCTAGGATATCAGCCTTCGTGCTTTGCTCCTCAGAACAGGACAAAGTTCCCTTTTGCGGTATTTTGGGCACTCAAGCTCTTTTCTAGAGACATAAAGTTGATTACGCTCTTATGGCTCAATAAGTGACCCCCAAAATAGGCTGTGTGCTTTCTCTGGAGCCCCCCTTTGCATGACCGCTGAAAGGCTATCTGTCCCTTCACGGATCAGCAATTGAACTGAAGCGAACCTGTCTAAAGTATGCTACCGTAACAACTCCCTGTTCCTCAGTCACCTTTTCCCTCGCAGTATCTCTGCTGGAGGAGGGCAGACCCCAGTCTCCTCCTTTCGTGAAAAGCTGAACCATGCACCGTGGGAACACCATTCTGGGGAGCTGTCTCGGGAGAAAAGGGCCTGCAATCCCCTACTTCAGAGCAATAAGATGTGGCAACATTTAGCTGGAGTGATCTCCTTTAAACACAGGCGCTTAGTTCAGGTGCCAAAGTGGTTTTGTTTTCACGTGGGCCCCTTTGTACATTCTTATGGATTTTCTTTTTAAAAAATTATTATTATTTTGCAAAGAGAACTGCAGCCCGGCTCCCCCGCTCCCCTTCAGATACTATTTTTCTTCTCCCCTTTATGATGCCGAGGAGAGTAATAGAGACATTGTGGCTCTCTCTCCCTGTCGGCACTGCTTCCTCAGGCTGTCTCCTTGAATTAGGCGCTGTGTTAACTTACCAGCACTAAAAGGTATCTGCCTAAACCCAGCGTACTTTTTCAATAAAAGTCATCATTAAATCAACCTGCCTTGTAAATCCATCGCTCTTTGGTTTTGAAATATGCTGCCAGTGTGTCTTTTATGTCAGCGTTTGCAAGTGTGGGACGATATCCACTAAAGACAGAAGCCTTGTGCTTCTCACAGCACAAATGTTGTCTCTGTTTCCCCCCACCTCCCTCCTATATTACTTTCTGTGCAGTAGAACTGCTTTCCTTGTTCCGTGTCTCCTCATCGGTGTTGTTAATATGTAGGCACAGCTGTTGTAGGTGGAAGTATGTAGGTGCGGGTAGAGCTTTCATTTTGGGCGAGGGAAGGAAGGTGGGATCACAATGTCTACAGATATCCAGTGTTGATGGTTTATGGATCTCTCCCCCTTATCAATATAACCTGGATGTTGAAATGAAGCTTGCTTAAATGAATACTTTGGGAGATAACAGTGGAAGAGCAGGTCTGCTAGCAAAATGAATTTAAAGCACATCAGTTGCTGAGTATCTTGCTAGCAAAATCCTGTCAGATAGCTGATTTAAAGGAGTAAATCTGTTAAATGAATTAGACCACTTGTAGCACAGCAGTGGACAGAATAGCAGACACAGGCACATGCTCCAGTGTGGAAGGAATAAATCTTGTCTTCACCAAGATTGTGTGCTCTATGTGGGTGCTGCACTCCTGAAAAATAAATAAGTACTTCACAGAGGAGTAAGGCTGCTAACGGAATGTACGCCAGTGTGTCGGCTTCCCCACGCCCACTGGGAATGATTAGACAGGGAGATTATAACGAGAGAGGCAGAATAACAACTTCGCAAGGTGCTTCAAAAACTTGTGAACATGTGAAAAGTCCCCCCCCCTTTCCTTAAAAGAGAAATAGAAATTGGTTAAAGTGCTTAGCCTTTGCACTAGAGCAAAATGAATGCAGGCATTGCAACCAGCCGGACAGAGTGCTGACTAAAATATTAGAGACAAACTGGTTTTATTTTTGTTTCTAATGCCTGGATTAATTTAACTCTTCTGGCTTTTAAAATTTGTTTTAATATCATCCCAGGTTTTAGACACCATTGCTAGCATAACCATCTATAACATTGCCTGCATACACTTTAGATGCATATAAGCACAACATCCGTTCGTGTTTCATTAATCTTAAAGTTATAAAATAAGTACCAGGACAATTTAAAGTAAATTTGACCTTCCCTCCTTCCCATCGTATTTAGCTGTTGCACCAAAGAGCATGTTTTCTATGTATATCAGAATCTTAAATATGTTAACACAGTGGGTTTATTTACTGGGGGGATGGGATTTTAAAAATGTGTCTTAATTATCTTTATATGGCAGTTTTTAGAAAGGAAAAACTTGAGGGCTGACACGGCTGACTGGTTGCATCATGGAACCTGTCATGTTCTGAGACATGCATACATATTTGCAGGTTTCTTTATGCTTGTATGTAAAAATATACTTAAGGGTCTTTAAATTTCTCATCATGGACCCTCAGGAAGTTTCTTGGGGACCTTGTGTGAACAATATACATAACCCTTTGGGAAAGAAGGATCGTAGTGTAGGGTCCATTGCAGGGAAATAGTTCTGTGGACAAGCTTCTAGGCAAAAGTGTACAGACGGGCGTAGTGAAACTCCATCAGATCAGCAAAGTCTTTATGTATTCAATAGAGGCTCTTCAGAATTGTGGGATTCAATTGTTTATTTGTATTTTTCAAAATCCTGAAAGGGATTAGACCATGCGATGGGTGAATGACTTCACTGCATTACACATGTCCCTTGTACCATCACAAACAAACATTTTCAAATGGGTTTTAAATATTTTTATACTGTTGTAACATTAGAGATGATTTTCTGAGAAATTTTCTTTTTTTATTTTTTCAAAAAAGGAACCCCAAAAATATATAACAGTATGTCAAGCCGTAAATGTATAGTAGCACAGATGGAACCCACTCTATGCAGAGCTAGATCCATATGCAGCTAGAGATACTCTGTGTGTGTGTGTGTGTGTGTGTATATACACGCGTACTCTTGCGACTACATTCTCATTCTAATTACATCACTATGATCAGGATCTGACCCCTTGATGTATGTATGTGGGCTAGGAGAGATCACATATTTCTCAGAAAGAACCACCGTTTTATTTTTAAGTCAGGATGTTGCTTTCAAATTCTGTGTGTATGTTGGAGCCCCAAGTCAGACTGCTAATGAATTATGGAGGCATGGATGGAGCGTGTTTGTGTTAATGGTCATTTTGTAAATCTGTTAGAGTTTTTTTGTGTTTGGGCAAGTTGCCTGTGATGGTAGGATGCTGCTCTCGGGATGTCGAGAGAGGCCGTGCGTGCCATAGAAAGCGCGTATAAAAGACATACTCAATCCAGGGAGGAGATGTAACTGTTTGTTGAGACACATGCTTTGGACAGGGCCGTTCTGTTTAGATGCTCACTGGGAAGATAATTATATTTATAGAACAGTTTAGGCGCTTCTTGTACAGTGTGTGTTACAGACACTGACAAACACATTTCATGGGGCTCTTTAAATAAATGTATCTTCATTAACGTAGGTTTCCAGCAGCAGTGGAAATAAATGCACCGTTCCCCTGTGTGATAGACATCTATAACCCCCCTGTGGAAATGATCCCCAGTTTTATTCTGGGCTTTCTAATAAAAAGCTGTCATGATTGCTCCTCGCCATGACCACGGCATCACCCCCCTCCAGCAGAGCGAGCTGGCCGGCAGCATCCATGCTGGAGCCTGGCTGGCTTGGCAGAGATCTCTCCGCATGTTGCGGCGCAGAGCTTCCCGTTTAGTCTTCCCAGAAACGACGGTCTCCACCACACCTGGAGATGCTTCCAAACGCTCCACAGTCCGCATTTCAAGACTGCCACAGCAATCTTTTTTTGGTGATCGTCCACTTATTCTTTATCATGTGTCTTCGTCGGTACGCTGCGGAGAAGCCTGATCTAGTGTTTGAGCACATGAGTCAGGAGACCAGGGATCTTTTCTTCCCGCTCTGCCACTGATTTCTTTTTTGGCCTCAGTTTTGACATCTGTAACATGATAACACCTAACTGCCGAAGTTGTTCTAAGAAGTAATTAGTTAATTTGCCAGTACTTTGAGATCTTTGCTCCTCTCCTGCGACTTTCATCCAAAGTAGCGATGGTATTTATTCATATTATTTTTACTGTTACATTAAAATAAATAAAAAAATAACTTTGATTATTGGGACACTGTCAATTTGATCAAGGTCCCGTTTCTCCTCCCTGCGATTATAGCTATGCCTCAGTATGGAAGGGAGTTTCTCATTCCA